AACAACAACAACAACAACAACAACAACAACAACAACAACAACAACAAGGTACAAACAAACAACAACTATGTAGGGCGGCGACTCTTGTTTCTACCAACAACAACTTTTCCTCATGCTATGCCGGCTAAGCGTCCACCGCTTGGGCATGGACCATGTTCACGAAAGCGTAGCCCAAATTGGCGTCCCGGTAGAAGTCGCATGGCAAGTACACGAAGTCGTAGAGACCCTTCATCCCTTGCTCATCAAGCCTGCTGAGGCGTCCGAAAAAGGAGTGGAACGAAGGCCGATTAATTAACGTCATGCCGGAATACCAGCGATGAGATGCGCAAACAGGTAGATTGGTCTACTTGGAATTTGCGCAAGGAACCTGACCAAACAGATCCATGTGTATATGCCATACACATTTACATAAACTAATGTAGGTGCAAGGGTATATCGGTATATCCCATTGTCAGCAACAGTGGATGATGAGGATGGTTACCGACTGTTACTGGTAATGGGACACACCCTGAGGAGGACAAGCGAAGATGACCCGGTCAGGAAAAGCAGCATCAGCATCACTGATGAAGAAAAGGGATCGAGTACTGGGTCTCCGAATTTCTCAGAATTCCTCCGAGTCTCCGACATCTCTGGTATGGAGATCCAAGGGTGTGCGACAGCAGAGCAGAACACACAACATAAAGAAAGGATTCATAACAAATGTTTATGGACTTTAACTCAAACCTCTCATTCTTGGCCACCCGCAAGCACGACTGCCAAGTAGCAATTGTAGGAACATCTCGCGAGTGTAGTTGTTGGGCAAGTTCCTCAACATCACTGTGGTGCGTTCCTTGGGCTTCTTCACCTCCTGCCAGATGGAGTCTGGAGAGCTGTACTTTAGTTGCACCCACAACAGGTTACATACTGAAAAGCACTCCAAGCAAGGATCTATAATAGGTGGTCCATCAAGACTCCCTCAGATTCATTAGGCCCTTTATTTCTGGGGGCCAGTCATCAACGCCACTTGGAAGGCGAGAAATATGGAATGCTCCTTTGTTGAACCGGCAAGCATAATTTGGATACTGTAAGAAAGACAAAGGCTTCACTCAACTTTCAACCCTTATAACGTACCCGGGACTGACGCAAATTATGTGTGCTCCTCTTATTGGAAACCAATCTGGCATCCATCCATCCTCATTGCCTGTTTGACAGGGTGATTCCCTACACGCCACCAGCAATCGGAATCCCCGGCCAGAACCGTAAGCATGTCACAACACCATTCTATCCCCACAGGCTCCTACCTCCATGTCCAAGGTCTTTGGGGTGGGTTTGGAGGGTCCAAACTAGGGCCCACACTCTTGACTGTTGAAAAAGCTTCCTGCAAGTATCAAATTTCCAGTGAGTGTGAAGGCAGCTTTGGCAACTGTGCGTTCACAGCTGATGCAAATTGATGCAAACCTCCATTCCTGTGGTCCTGATCCCAGAATTGCGTCCTCTAAATATGGCTGCTTGATAACATAACTCCGAAGCTGACTTGACTTTTGCCCCCAACTTGACTTGACTTTTCAGTTTGCATGAAAACAGCTGGGAAGTGCACATGACTGTCATCTCTTCCCCAATGGACCTACGTACCGACCGATGAAAAAACTGCTATGAACATGGAATGGGTGTCTCTTATCAAACGTTGTTCACCTCTTGAGCTGTTCCAGCTTGTAGCCTACCCCTTATTCAAACAAAAAGCAACCTTACAGTAGCCTAGCCTTTATCCAAACCAAACATCAACGTAACAACAATCAAAGCACTGGTCACCAAACCCCCCACGTACCTCGACCGCGATCTCGGGCGCCGGTGGCTCCGCCGGCGTGGGTGCTGGAATCTCATAGACCTCCGAGATGGAGATGAGTGGTGAGGCGCAATGGTGAGGAGTGGTTGATGAAACCCTAGGCTTCCAACCACCATTACTGTAAGAATCTGTAAGAGGCTTTACCGAATCAACTAAGGGTTTTACACAACAAAAACCAGGTCAACAAGTTTCTTCACGGTCTTGGAAGTCTAGGGAAAAAAATGGCATCATGGATTTAAATTGATCCTGTGGAGCACCGAATCCCTGTCGATGTTAGACATATCCCGTCCGATCTTATGCACGCCTTTAAGGGACACCCTGGCTGCAAGCCAGTTGCGACTTAGGTCGGTGTTCCGCACCCGGGGAACCCTCTGGCAGAACCGCTCGAGCCCCAATCCGTAGCTCTTCCTTTCCACATGGCCCACTGGTCGGTTCCCTGGTCGGAGTTACAGGATGGAGTAAACCGTCGACACGACTAGCACGCAACTATCTCTGCATCTCCATCACCCAGCTGAAATCCTATGTTCCAATATGTTGGGCCATATATTCTGCAGAGTTGATGAGCTACCCTATGATCAGCCACCAAAACCTGGTTCCCCAGTCGCTCCCGAGTCCGCGACCCCGGGTCCGCCGCAGTTTCTGGGCGCGCCTTCTCCGCTTTGGGCTCCCAAAGCCAAGGCCCCTCAGTGCGATGGCGCCGGAGCTTGTGAAAGCGGCGGGTCAAGGGCTCCTCCTCCGTTTCCAAATGGAAGAACGTGCTGCGGATCACCAAGCAGCCTCAGGCACAGGGCAGGGCACAGGGCAGTGTCTTTTGGGTTGCGGGAAGGATCGAGAGATCGATATGCGAAGAACAATGACTGAAAGAAGTGTCCACATACATGGTGAAACTCTCCGGATCCAACGGACATGGACATACGATTTACATTCCCTCAAGCAACGGGAAAAAAAAAAGATCCTCTATCATCCTCTTGCATTTCTGGAGGGAGAGGAGGACTCAACAAAAGGCCAAATCCGCTACACGGGGCAGTGGAGAGGAAGAGACGATTCTGCAGCTATAGAAGGTTTGGTGAAGCCCCTGAGTGACCGTGGGACGTGCCTCGAGTGCCTCTAACATGCATTCGGATCCTATTACCAGCATCAGTGGATTATGATGGTTAGTAAATGCATTGTTAATACATGTTATAATACCATTTTTTACTGACTGTTGCAGGTAATCGGACAGACCCAAAACATGCATGTGTTGAGTAATTCTTATAAGATGAAACCTCATACCAGTAAATGGGACGAAGTGATCTCATAGGGAACTCTCCCCCTGAAAAGCAGTTGTTTCCAGGCTTGCTTGACCCATTTTGAATCGAGCAAGCGGAAATGGCTTCTTTCGCACTTTGAACAGGATTCAATGCACGTTGGGGTCATGATTCACCTCAATTAGTATCGAACAATAACTGCTCGAATCATTCAATGGGTGTCCAACATGGAATAGGCTACCCTGCACTACTTGGGGATCCCCATTTGACACCCATTGGATGGTCCAAATATATAAACTATTTTGATCCTTTGGACTTGACACCCACAAGTTCGAGAACCCACTCTGGCGTGTAGCTGCGTCTTCCTACACAACCCAAGACAAATCGGGGTAGCCGTTACAAATCGGATAAACAATACAAAATTGTAAAAAACAAAGAAAACTTCCAAAGTCTCGGACCTGCCGCTCTTTTCGACCTGCGCTTAGCCACTTAGCTGAACGATTTTCAAACAAACTGGATTCAAATTCATCAAAATTATCTTTCGCATGAAAAGATATGCGTTGTTTTCTATTTTTCGCAATTCCTTCGGGTCCTCTTTGAGTCTTGTTCTCCCGCCTCAAATCCAGCCAAGCTCCTCCCCACCTCCAAACCTGGCATATCTTCATGCAAGCATTCTCCTATACAATTCCATACAGGATTCATCGGGATTCATCCTGGCCAGCCTCTTGACCCCCGAAGAAGGACTCTTGCAAAAAAGAAGCTCACACATTGACATGTCCCCACATAGAATTCGAGTCAAAACCAAGGACAGTTTGGAAAATGTGTTCCCCTTTTTTCACCCTCAAAACCGGTTTGCAATTCACATTCTATCAAACCATAGGCAATTCTCCGACACGGGGAGAGGTGTTCAGAATGCCCCCCCCACACATGCACACGACCGATCCAAGATGATCCAAGGCCAAGGAGCACGTGGCGTCGTCCCCACACTGGTCCGAAGTATCAGAGCGAGGTGTTGGGACCTGCGGCTCCCCCTGTTCGGGGGGGAGCGTGACGGGGACGTGACTGGGGAGGAGTGGTGTGCGGCGCGGCCGATGGCGGCCGCTTTGGATGGCATGGTGAGGGTCTGGTGAGGGTCTGGTGAGTCGGCACACCAGTTTTTCCTCTAGTTGGGTGTGTTTTTGTTCTTTGGTCTGGTTGGGATGTCAAAAGCTAAATGCTCCTGGAATCTCTTGGACATTGGGGCAGTCCGGGACTCTAACGACACACTGGTGACACCTCGACCACATCAATGGATACCAAGCCTACCACCCCTTTGGAGAGTCACAGGAATGTGTCTCCCATCAAGACTAGGCCACTTGGTACTCTACACTAGGCCAGAGGCCAGAAGCTACAGTTTCAGGGTAAATGGCGCAAACCCCAATATGCGCTTTAGATGTGTGAGATATCTTTAGATGAGGCTCCATTTCAACTACCTACCTTTTGGAACTTGTGCCATCTACTCTGAAACCACTCTCGGTGATCTGACCCCAACCTTTTGGAGAATGTAAACGCATTCTAGGCGCCTGGGAGTACACAGCAGTGCTGGCCGTTTCATCGCTCGAGAGGTGCATGGCATCCTTCATTGGGGCACACAACCTGGTGGCGTCTGGCAAGAACGCTGGTGGAAGGCCAACAAATGGTAGGGGGGAACATTGGATGGGGGGCGGACGCAGTGCACCAATGGGCGTTTCGAGCACCCAGTCAGCAACTCTGGTGTGGCATTGGGAACATCAGGAAAATTTGGGGTTGATCCTCATCAGGACACACACACACATATTATAATGCAAATCCCCTCCATCAAATAGTTGTGAAAAGTCTTCACGATTGGGGTGGACCCTCATTCACTGAGCCAATGCCCACTCTTACTACCCAAGCTCAGAAGCGTGGCTATAAGGATTCTAAGGATATGTGATGGTGGGAAAGTAAACTGAACTGTATACACACTCCCGGAAATAATCATGGAAGTGGAACAAACAAAATCTATTTGTAGTGGACAATGGTCATCCAAAGGGGTAGCTTGAGTCTTGCAAAACGCAGTCGGCATAGCTGGTTTCTGGTTCAAACCTGTGCAGGAGGGACTCAGGAGGCAGGAGGGACGACTGATTCTTCCCCCGCTCGAGGAAGGGCTGGAATCCTGGAAAGGAATATATCAATTGACTTGACTAGGAGAGGCCTTCCAAAAAGCATCTATAGATTATAGTCCGTCGCCCCTTCAGTATACAAAGGGCCGTTTCTAGAATGTTGTCCAACTGCGCAGTGCCTAAAAGTATGACCTGTATGAGTTTTGCAAGTGTAAGCATTCACCTGCGGCACAGGATGAATCTAGGATCTGAAAGGAACACCCCCAGGCCCGCAGGGCTCCAAAATACATACTGCTTGGTCCTATTGAGCAAAAAGTGTCTATAGACATGCTGACCCCTTTTCTGCCCTCAGCAGCCGCGCATCAAATATAAACCACTGAAAGGCCTAGTGACATTCTCCAAAGTTCGTTCTGGGAAGCGAGTCACGTGGTTGCTTGAGCACTTTTGCCCCGGTGCTTGAGCCAACAAAAGTGCAGCACCATCAACACGTGGGAAGCACATGCTACCGCGGGCAAAAAAGAAACGGTTGCCATACCATAGCAACAAAAACAGAGCTCCAACTTAACTGTAAAGAAGTTCGTGTTGCCATGAATTTTCGCACTTGCTCCAAAGTGATGCCTGGCAAGTCTACTCCAGCTTGGTTCAAACAAAAACGGCAGAAACCTTGTGCAGGATCACGTGAAGGTCATCAACAATCTTCCCCACCTTCGAAGTATCCATGGATGAGGAGCTTCCCATCCAAGACCTGAGCCGCCAACTGAGCCGGTTGGGAGACATCCAGAACCATGTAGTGGTTCAGCAAGAGGATATGCACTCGCCAACAGAGGATTCACCAAAGAAAATAGATGTTCCAAGAGGATTCGCTGATTCGTTCCCAACAAAGGACTCACCAACAAAGGATTCAACAAATCAGCCAGACCTGCCCCAACACCCCTAGTTCCAGCTGCCACCTGGAGCCCGCTTCTTTTCGCATCCTAGGTCCTAAGAGATACAAAGAGGAAACTGGAGTAGGCATACCAAGTTTGGGAAACCATCAGGAAAAAAAGTCACTAAAATACAATGATCTGACCACTCCACTTCTTAAGAGTGCATGTCGTGCATGTTCCATGTGTCTGTCGATGCATGTCGATTGGTTTACATGTGTCACGCGCTTTACTTCTTGGGCAAGCCAGTACGCAGTCGGTCCGCCATCTGCAAAACTTACAGGGTGGCTGTTGTAGCTAAAGGATGCTAAAGGCATCTATAACAGCCAAACAAACTCTTGATTGATATGGGATGCACCGTGCCATTTCCATTTCAGGGTGCATGTTTTTGTGCGGCATCAACTTCGGTCACGGAAAAACTCCTGGCCTGGACTGCAACCTTCATGCCATCCTGCTGGGATCGTTCGGCCAACCCCTTTCAGAACCAGGGCTGGGCACCACCGAACGCAAGGGCAGGGCACCGCCGCTTCGCAGCCGAAGCCCTTCTTCACCAACGGGGTGCAAGGCGCCTGGTCCCTGGTTTTTTTGGACTCAGTATAGTCAATTCTGGACTATAGGGCTCCAGTCGTACCTTCTGGGAATGTGTCTTGGGTGGGTTGAAAGGGTCCAGTGATACCGAACCCGAGGAGGTACGACTGGAGCCTGAACGGGGGAGGATGGATTGGAACTTGGAACCCCAGCAACTCGAAGCTCGGGGGTTGTTGCAAGCGGTTCTGTCAAACTTGTTAGGGCTCTCCAAGACGTATTTCAACAATTGACAGAAAGATCCAGGGCTACGGCTAGACGTAACTCAAAGCTCCCCAAACACCATCTCATCAGAAACCACACTCAACCACACTACTCAAAAACCGTTGCTTCTGGATTCACCAAGGCAAATGAATGAAAACCATCCGAATAACGGGCATTTCATCCTCCACACTCACTCTGGGGCCCCCATTGGGCCCTGCTTCTTCGAAACGTTCAGCGCCAATGGGATGCAGGATGATACAGGCAGTCAAACTGTCCATCACACAAAACAGTGGCTCAGCCTTTCTCACACTTGAGCCAAGCATGTTCAGGGACACTATTTATCCCGCGGAGTGAAAAGACCCCTTGTTTACTTCGTCCCCCCCCACAGGTTCATGCGGAATATTTTGGCTTTCATGCGCCTCATGCAGCCCCCCCCCCCGCAAGGGGCTGCGCAAGTCGCTATTGCCATTCTTGCCGCTTTTCCTGTGGTAGGTTCAGAAAGGGAGTCGAAAAGGATTAAAGTAAAATGGCAAAAGCTCACCCGCAGCCGCCACTGCGACACATTCTCATTGGTCAAGAGCCAAGGTGCCGCAGCGCAGCAAGCAATGAGCGCCCAAAGTGTTCCTTAGTTGCCCGCGCAATGCGCTGGGTCAACCTTGTCTTGTCTTCGGGTTAGGAGTGACTAGGATTTGACGTCGTGCTTCCAGAAACTGAAGCCGTCCGAGTGCCTTAGTAAACACGTCCCCTTTGTGGTCCTTAGTGGATGTGTGTACTGCTCTGATCAGTCCTTGGTCAATCACTTCAGCCAGCGCCGCTACACTGATTCGATGGGTCCTGTTGAGGGACTTTAATTTAGGACTGTATCCATGCTGCAATATTAACAGCACAGCGTTGTTGTCCTCGCGCAACACAGTATCAACTTCCTGGCCAAGGACTAGTTCCATGACTGTTTTAATCGGCAGACCCTCGTCAAACACCAACGCTGATGCTGAGACGATTTCGGCCTCGGTTGTACTTCTTGAAACGCAAGTTTGCTTTTTGGCACCCCAGTAAACAGGGAAAGAAGTCCCTTCACTGTCTTGTATGAGCACGAAATGGCCGCTATGCGACCGCATGGTCATGGGGTCCCCTGCTAAGTCTGCGTTCGCGAACAAATCTACTCTAGGAACAGATTCAGTTCCTGAAACGGTGCCTAGAATTCCCAACTCAACCGAACCTTTCACGTATCCCAGTAATCGATACAGCATGATGTCATGGTTTCGGGGTCCACTTGGCGATGTGGGAAGCCAGAGACGTGATTGCGAAACTGAGGTCGGGCCTTGACAGCCTGGCCAGCCACAGGAGTTTCATCAAGAGCTGGGCGGCGCTTCCTGCTAATTGACCTTTCTCCTCATACCCCTCCTGTGTCAAAGCGGCCTCTGACACAAAAGGCGTCTCGTAGACCTTCAAAGTTTTCCCAAACTGATCCTCATAGAGCTTGTACGCCGTGACGGCGTAGTCACACATGGACATGTGAACTTGTCGCCCTCCTCCAAATTCGAAGATGAGGTGATCTCTGCCTAAATATCTTCCTGGCTGTTCTATGGCATCTACAGTTATGTACTGTGACAATATTTGCCAAAAGACAGGCAGATTTTCTTTTGGGCCTGAAACGACTAGATCATCTACATATGCTGCGCAAAGTATGTTGAGAGATTTGATGTGCCACAATGATGGCCAACCCTCAACCCGGTCCCCTTGAAGCTTGTGGATGATCACTTCGTCCAGGTATAGTGTCCAATCGTCTCCTGACGTTGGATGGCCATACATGGCCTTCTTCAACCTTGCCGCCACCCGTCTATACTTTTGATGCCATTGAGGGAGCCACGCCTCTTTTGGCAACACCACATAGGTGGCAATGGACGATCTAATTGGTGCCTGTAAATAGGCCTTTTTGGCGTCGGCGATTTGGACCATGTTGTTGACCCTTAGCCCAAACCATAGCACTAAATTCACCGTGGCCCTGGCTATGGACGCTGGGATCGATTTTAACTCCCGAAACAATGCCAACTGATTGTTTTCGTCCCGTGTGTCGTCTCCTCTGAAAACTAATCTCACTTTCAGCTTGGCCATGTCTTTGCTTTCGGAATTTTTGATTGATCCGATAGGCATTGCTTCTGCTATATGAAACTTACGACCCTCCTCTTGAGCTTGTTTCTTCAACCTCTCAACTTCATGTATGTCATTGTCATCCCACACTTCCAATATGCGCATGTCATCAGACTCTTCTTTGAATTTCTCTTTACCCTGGGGGTGATTGAAAAGTTCCCGTCTCGAAAGTGGGGTGTGTACCATACATTACCATACCCAAAACAAGCTGGGCCATCAACAAACCGCGTTCCTGATGCGCAACCGTGCCGTGAGTGACGGGCATCGCAGGTACATCAGTGAATGCTGATTCAGGACTCAATGCCGAAAGTATAGCAATTGCCATTTTGGTGTTGTATATGCCTGACTTTCTAGCCATGCTACCACCATTCAATGTGTCCAGGTCCATGATTGCACCGAAAAGAGTCCAAGTGCCCGGCAACTCGTTTGGAAGTCGTCACAATTCTCCATTCTTTCAAAGGACGTTTCCCTTCTATGACTAATCCCATCCCACAGCCAGAGGGATAACAAGAGTACATGTTGAAATGAAGAATCATTTGGGTGATTTGCTCCTGCTTCCATCCCCCATTCCTCAACGGCCACTCAAACGAAACCGAACCCCCCGATTCCAAAGCAATCTCGCCTACCTGACAGAAGTTGTCTACGAGGATTTCGGTTTCAGCGCGTTTGCTTTCCAAGACCTCCAAATACTCTCGACCCTGAACCGCTATGTTCAAATTCTGGAGTGGTGAATATGGTCCACATGGAATTGAGCCATACAAGTCAATCGACTCGCCTTTGTTTGCCGTCTCTTGGAACCAAAACAAGATTTGTTCAATCACACCAGGATCCGATAAATCACCAAAGTCTTTAGACAAGCCAAGATATGGTATTGAACAGGCATCAGCAACTCTGCAACAGGAACTGTTGGGTGAACAGCAAAACTCAACAAACCACTTTTGCTTTTGACTTGGTCGTCGCCGCACATGACTTCAGGGCAAGCTCCAGCTTCGATGATAGCTCCTCCTCAGATCCCTTCCCTTCCTCCAAGTCACGGATATAGATCGAGGCTATCACCTCTGGACCCCTTTCCAAATCCAAATTGCTGAGCTCTTTGCCGGTAATGGGCGTTGACAAACCAAATAGATCCCCTTCAGGTGGTTCAGGCGTTTCTGCTGCAATCGGTTCCTCACCAATTGACTTCTCCCGTTTCCTTGCCGGCTCATATTCATCCAACATTTTGTTGAATCGGTCTCTGCAAAATGCAGAGTGGCTGTATGTCCCATGCTTGCAACCTTCACAATCAGGGGTTTTCCCGTAGGCAAACACACGGAGGGGTGTTATGGGCCTGTTTCGGGCCCGGGTCCCTGTTGGCGATATCTCCCGCGCCAGGCGCTGGGCAGACACCTTCCTTGGGGTCCCCTAAGTCCTCTCTTTCGCCCTCACCCAAATCATCCCCAATTTCACTGGCTAAAGAAGGTGTATAGCTGATGTCTTCCAATTCCTCCTCAGCTCTAGCATCCAACACTGGGGCCTCCGCTGCTTTTGAAGCTGGAAATTGCCATTGCCCATTTGGTATGGCTATTGTTCTTGTCACAAAATCCTTGTATACCCCTTGATGGAAATGTTCCATGGGCCACACCCTGTAATTTCCTTTAAACAGCATTCCGTCAATCAACTCCGCACCCAAGAACAAAGCTGGTTCACCTTTGGGACCAAATGAGTAGGGACCAGGATTCTTGTACCAAACCAACGCAGCAAACGGAACCATGAAACATTCAATGTCATACCCCATGGCCCTTTTATATCTGCTTGGGTTGCCATCCTCCTCTTCGTCATCCTCAAGTCCTTTGGCTGGCGCTGTGATGTTGTAGGCCCACTCCAAATACTTTAAAGCAAGCGGCCAATGTTGCAAATCCAACCCTGAGTGAATGAGAATTGAGGATGCCATACCTTTTATGGTGCGAATGGTGGACTCGGCAAGTGCGTTTTTGATCTTTTGATATGGGGCTGAAGGTTCGCTAGCAAACCCCAAATCGACCAACGCTTTCTTGATTTCCGGAGCCCTATCCGATGAAACTTGCACTATTCCAGGCTTCCTCTTTCCACACAAGCGGCGCAAAGCTCGTTCAACTTCATCTGCGCTCTTATGCTGGCATGGTGCCATTGAAGTAAAACCCGAAAAGACATCAACCATGATGAAAGCACATGTTTCACCCCTGTTACCTATTTCATCCCGAACAATGATGTGATCCACGGCTAGCTTCTCCAAGTAAAAGGTGGGAGCCTCGATCATACAAATGTCTTTCAAATTCCTACTTTGGTGTTTGGATCTACGATGTTGCGACTCATAAAGTTTCGCCCTTTTGCAAGTATCACAATCCCTTGATTTTGGCAAATGGGTCATCAAATGGTTGCTTGGAATCCCACTGATCTCCTCACCTTCCTTGATTTCCTCTTGGCTAGGACCCCCATCTTTGCTGCTGCCCGCGCCAGGCGCAGGGCCATCTCCGATCTCCTCGGCAGCGCCCGCGCTAGGCGCAGGGTCACTGCCATGAATCACAGCTGCAGCGTCAGGAGAATCCATACACGCCACTGGTTCCTCAAGCATTGGAACAGCTTCAGAAACCTCAACGTCTTCCGACATAGACCCTGACCCTGCTCCCCCCCTGCAAGTGGAAGATCAGGAGAAGGAGAAACAGGGAGGCCATAAGTACACTCCACGGAGAGGCGAAACATGGGAACATGGTGCTCAACCCGATCAGCAGAAACCACCGCGCCATCAATCTGAAAGTCAAAGTGGGTAGAGGGAGGAATCAACATAGGCAACTTGGAAGGATGCCACAAGAAGGAATACCCATCCGTCTCAACCAACTGACCAATGGACAAGGCGACCGGACACTGGGGAAGCAAGTAAAAATTGCTCATGCGTTGGAACTCCTCGGACCAAAACCCAAGAGTGGACTCACCATCACGTTGACCACCTCCTGTTAAGAAACGAACAGGATGATGCGTCTGAGTGATGAAGTCATCAACTGCCAGCCCTTGCCGTCGAAGTGCCTCAACGGAAGCCAGGTTCTCCCCGGCTCCAGTGTCACCCACCACATCAAGACACATGGTCGACCTAGACGGCATCGCCGTTGCAGCAGATGGCGTGGCCAAAATTGCCACTGCTGCAGCTTTGGCGACTAAGCCAGGACCTGAAGAGGATGCCTTAGCTTTGGGTTGGGGCGCCTGAGCGGCATGACTATAGGGGCAAGACTCACCACGCATGCACCGACCCTTCAAATGGTAGATACATGGCGATTTGGCCTTTTCCTCAGGCGTAGGGACCTTGGTTGCCTTGCCTTTGCCTTTGTCTTGCTCATTGGCGCTTGTTGAATGTTTACCCTCCTTATCCGGGGACTTACCTTTTCCGGATGTTTTGTCTTTGGAGTCCTTTTTGTCATGCTTTGGTGAATCCTTAGATTTACCGTCCCCTTTGGTGCTGGGCAGCGCAGGCTTCTTGCCAACCATGGGACCCCTTTTCAAATCATCACGAATTGATTGGGCGTTTGCATCATGTTGAGCTTCGCGCAATGCTCGTTCAACACCACTCCACATAGCTTCGAATGTGCGTTCGCGACTACCCAGGTGGGAATCCAGGTATCGATCCATGACCCGTCGCATCAAAGGATGCTTCTTGAGAGTAGCGTAAATCCATTGGGACATCAACTCTTCGTTGGGCCTTTGGTTTGCTGGAAGTTGACTCAAAATGTAAACAACTTTATCCCTCCATTGTTTCAAAGCCGCTACACTGTCTTGTGGGGTGGGAAGTTGAAACAATTCCAAGCTACTCGTAATGGCACCAGATGCCGCTGAGGTATCAAACTCCCTGGAAATGAGATTGATGATAAATCGACCCCGTACTTGAACACCTTCCGCTTCACATGCCTCAACATAACTCTGGATCCTACCGAAGCCAAGACACGATCCATCCTAGGAAAGGCCTCCGAGTTGATCCGCAACTCTTCGGCTTCAATCCCTCTAAGCTGATGAAAGGCACGATTCAACCAAGGTGTCAAATGACCTTCATGACTTTGGTCATAGGAAAGGATTACTGTCCGTACAGAATTTTTCCATGTCCTAAAATGACTCGCCGAATCTGGGAGATTGGGCAACTTGAGATGGTGGAGGTCCTTGGTTCTCAAACTGTTACCCTCCAAATCATTGGTGTTGGCTTGTGAGCCAGCTTGAGACCCTTCATGGTATTCCGGAACCCCAAACACTTCATCATCTCCAGGATCATGGTCCTGCAATCGCACTATCGGAGTTTGGCTGCCCTGACGTTGAACTTCGGGGACTGGTGCCTGATTCATCCAAAGTTCCTGAATGTACTCTTGGTGAGTATCAATTTTACGTTCAAGACGCTCCAATTGTGTTTCAATGGACTGGAGTCTGAAATTCACTTGCACAAAGCCCGTAGCATTGTTGGTCTCATTAGCGTTTTCTCTTTGAACATGACCAAGAAGCTGTTGAAACTGTTCCCTCACGAGTTGGTTTTCCCTTTGGGAAGCTTCCAGCTGCTGCTGCAAACGTTGGATTTCAGCCAAGGCCCCCAACGTCTGTGCCTGCGCCTCTGTCGTCTCGACTCTGGCGTTGGCAACTGCTTGAACGGCTTCCGATCTGAGGTCCGATGCAGCTGATATGGCAGCCTCTCTGACCCCCGCAACTTCTTGAGTTGCCTGTGCTCTAAGCTCCGCACTAGCAGCCGCAACAGTCATTTGGGTGTACAGTTCGGGGTTTACCCCATGAGCATGCTGCTCGACGTTTATTGACCTTTGATCAAAGTTCACTGATCTTTGGTCATGGTTCATGGTCTGACTTCCCCTGAAATCATGCGTTCCTTGTTCAGCCCTCATTTCAATCTCCATAGCACTTGGCCTCAAATCAACCAACGAAGGTAAGCTACCCCCGCTAGACGGTGAACCCGAAACATGTTCTTCCATCCTAGGTGGCAACGTAGCTTGGGGATGTGGGCTACGACCCCTCAATGACTTAGCGAGGTAGGGGCCCGGACGTTTTCTCGGTGCTGAACTAGGGTCACTCGACGAATCTCTCCCACTCCCAACAGCTACCGATGGAAGACCAATTTGCTCCGAACTACCACTGGTCAGTTGAAAGGACGTTGAACTCGACCCTTCCCCTTCCATTCAAGAAAAGATTCGATGTTTCGCTCAAAGCAGCAGATGCGCAACTCCCCGCGCCAGGCGCAAGGTGAGCCGCAAGCTTGTGAAAATCCCTGGCCACCGGGTCCTATAGACTTTAGGGATATAGCGACGGCGACCTATTTCCACAAAAGCTTCTGCCACACTCGAGGCAACGAAAAACCCTTTTGAAGGATTATGCAGATTAGGATTTACAATGATTGTGTCAACACCCCTTTCACGCAATTTCACTGCTAGATCAAGTCTATCGTCTATGTGTACTGCAACTTCCTCTGGCACTAAGGCAGGTTTATCCCTGTCACTAGTAATGAGAAGCCTGAGGTCGGTGAAATTACTCTGGTTGAAAGAGTGCAGCTCACGGATTGCTTCTGATCTGCGTTTGTTGCTTGAATGCCCGTGCAAACCTATATAACTGCAAACACCTGCCTCGTGACGCCTGTCGGTGTGAAGCCAATTAGCTAAACAACACTTTGCGTCAGTTGACCAACACCCTTCAGTTGCCGCACCTAAGTCAAGAACCCCGTGCAAATCTATGGAAATACGAACGGTGGCCCCTTCAGGGATCGGTGGTGAGGGGGGCCCAATTCTCAACCCGGGATTTGGTCGAAGTCCTAGGTTCGCAGCCTCCGACAGCAACTGGACACCCTTAGCTTTCACACCTTCAGCTCTTGAGTCTTCAGGCTTCTCCTCGGACTTCCTCTTTGAGGGCAAAGCCAACCCTACCTCTGTGGGGTTTTGGGGGTGTTTCAGGAGTTGGGGTACCAAGTCTACTAGAACCAGCGCTGGGACCTAGGGACAGCGAGCTACCAAAACCGACCTTGGGCGAGACCAAGCGACTTGGCTCAGCCGAAACGACCGACGACTTGGGCTCTGAGACTTGAAGGGTTTCCGCGTTAGAAGGAGCACTTTTCGGCCTTGTTTCTTCTAGCACTACCCTTTGAACAACAGCTTGGAGCCTTTCCACGCCCGCTTTGCTAGTTGGGGCAGATCTGGGGTTGTGATTCCCTCTAACGGTTTCCTCTGTTAGTTCCTTAGAACGCTTTGTCTTCTGCCCCCCCTTTCCCTTCTTGGCATACACTGGCCAAGATTCGCGAAGAGAGCAGTCGAGCAGCCGCGGCAGAGAAGGGAGCGCAAGGACTCGAAGAGGAGGGCAATAGAGCAGCAATGGCAAGAGAGGCGAAGGACTCAAACGCGGAACAAGGGAAAGATAGAGACCTACGGCTGATAACCACACAAAACAGTGGCTCAGCCTTTCTCACACTTGAGCCAAACATGTTCAGGGACACTATTTATCCCGCGGAGTGAAAAGACCCCTTGTTTACTTCGTCCATCTTCCATGAGTTGAACAAAATACGGTAGAAGCCCACCGAAACCAACCATTCCCGTGGAGGGTCTAGGTCTCAGACCAGTCGAGTCATCGAATCTATTCCACTCCCGTCTCTTGCCTAGACACCTTGGGTAAGCAAGGGCCGGGCAAATCATCAAATCTCCCGAAGGACCTCTTCCGTTTGGCGGAGTAGTCCGGAAGACTTACTGATTTGCCAAGATGTAATTACTTGATTTCGATGCACCATGATAAATCTAAAAAAACATATACCAGGACCTTCCAACAGGTGGTTTTTGGACACCCCTTTGCCTCTTTTGAGGCTGTGAATAGAAACCTCTTGAAAGGTGCTCGTATACCAGATGTGTAGCGATCCACTTTTTTCTTCCAAACAAAACCTTACGTCGTCGGTCGCCCGTCTACACCTCCCCGAAAAAAACACTCGTAGGGGTGAGTGTCTCTTCATATCAACACCCTTTCCCGGTGCCTCACCCGCCCTGCGGGTGCCTCACCCAAGCGATACTGGCCTCATGCAGGGGGAGCGGACGCGGAGCGGACTCGGGTGATAGGCAGCGTGGGGGTCGAGTCAATCTGCAGAGTGGAAACCTAAGGTAGGAATTCATGCAGTTTCACCCTCCCCATCCAAAGCCAGATGGACAATGACCGAGACTTTCCAGACCTGATGCTTTTTCCACAAGTCTACCAGGTGGGGATCAGGTGGTAGGAATTCGATCGCGAAGTATATCAACTGATCTGGCAATGTCTTCCAGCACACTGAAGTTTAAGTGGTTGATTGTGATTCGAATGGTCCACTGGGTGAGGTCAACACATCAACTGGCTGTGGGAGGCGTGATCGCAGCTCAACGAAGCACTGAGATGTGCTCCTATTGCTGAGAACCATCGGAATCCCTCATCCAAACCTTCCAACCAGAAAACACTTATAGCAGGACCTTTGGACACCCCCAATCACCTCTTAAGAGGCTATTCAATAGACACCTCAGAAGGAAGGTGCTTGTATATACCTATATACAATATATATAATATATAACTATGCATGTTAGATCATCAACTCTGCCGCTCCAACACGGACCACGTCACCGAAGACTTCCCCGCAGTCTCGCTCCGCTGAGTCCCGGCCTTTACCGTCCTGGGAGATCCAGTGGTGTTCAAAGCGCGTCCCCTCCAACTCCTCCAACGAGCGAGGCCGGCAAAATCCCGCGAAGAATCACGGAGGTTCCATAGAAGTTGAAGAAACTCTGAGGTGAACCAGGTGGTTCAACACGTGTCACAAATAAGGCAGCAGCAGCTTCAACGGCTTCAGGAAATGGCCTTTGGGTCCAAAAACTAGGAGACCTTGGTTGACCTATCTTTTTCAGGTCGTTCGCTACGTGGTGGACTGTTCGGGCTCCAGGTTTTGACCCATCCCCCAATCCTTCTCCCACTTCTCTCACTCCACTGTCCGTTCAAAAACTCTCCTTCGCCAGGAGGCTGCACACTAGGGGCCCCTCCTCAGAGGTCCCCTGCCTTAGTGGGCACCGATCAAATCAAACTAAGGTCATCATCATCATCATCATCATCATCATCATCTGGGTGTCAGAAGGCAAGACGACTTATGTGTTGCAGTTAAGAGAAGCGACAAACTAGACTCCATATATAGGAGTCTAGCACCTGTGCACAAGTTCTTTTTCTGAGCATATTGCTACATTATTATGGATATCAATCGATGTTGGGGGTCATATATCTGGTTACCCGTAACTACTTTTAAGCTACCCTGGAGGTGGATTGCTACTTCAAAGAATTAATTTGGAAGTGGTATGAAAATGGGATGAAGTGGGTTGGATTGCAATAATGCTCTTCCTCAATTTGTAGCCTTCACCGGAAACAGCTCATCCTGGACACGCTTGGGCCACCAACTGAATGGCATCCAAAAAGGTGTCTATTCCAAAACTTAACTCCCTTCATCTCCCTTCTCTCCAGACCCTTGGCAGATGCTAGCTGCTAGATCTTTCCATCTACCATCTCACCTGTTCCCAATCACATACCTCCCCCCCATCTCAGATACCACAGCCTTCCATCATCTTCCATCTACCCTCCAAGAGTCACTTTCGCGGAGTCCAATCTCCCCGAAAGTTGGTGGAGGCAAGAAGTCCTCTGGTCATAAAGGTCCACCGAACCATGATTGTTGGGAGGGCCATGGAGATTCTGAATCTGAGGGCCTTGGTTCCCGTAACACTCCATGTACGACATACCGGGTTCGGTACAATTAAAAGGCCTACAATGGCATTACATTGACCCTTAAAAAATGAAGTACAGTGTAGCATACTGCGGCCTCCATGGAGTGCCCAGGTGTTGGGACACCCATGGAAATCTGTCCGGCTGCACCGGACCTCAACGCCGGACATCATGTCCGCTGCCCTGGGCCCCACGCGTGAGTGCCTCAGTGACCTTCTCGAGGGCTGCGGTGCGATCGCCTCAGGAGCGAGCAGGGTGTTCTTGGCCGAAAAGAGCAGGGGGGTGTACAGGGCGTTTGGAATGCGGGTGCACAAAAAAATATATCCGAACTCGAACGGCTCAAATCCCCAAGACTGTTGATGGCCAAGACTGTTTATGGCCAATCCTACTTATATAAGTCATCGGGATTTGAGCCAAGCGTCTTGACGGGGGTATGATAAGGTCCGATACGGTTGGCGGCTTTGCTGATGTGTGTGGTGCATACCACATGGTGCTAGGTCAGGATAACATGGGCAGTTTTGCCGATGATTTTTGTGTGCCCCAAAACCGTTTCAAGGTATGATGTTTCAAACAGTTCGATGTCATGTCGTGCGCATCTGGTCCTGTTTCATGTCCTGGTCGCTCATCTGCAGACTGTCGGAAGTGTGGACCGTATCGTCTGCAGATCGTCACTCCCACCCCCCCAGAAGCTTCGGACCATCAACTAGTCTATCATAGTCTACCCATTGGTTGGAGGTCCTACATGTTTTTTCCACATTCCCCCACTGACCTCCGAAGCGAAGTCTTTTTTACATTCCGCCCGAAAAACGACGTCCCACTGAAGCGTGGAGGACGCATGAGGACACTGACCGCGTCCCGTCCCAGCTCAGTGGTTCATCTGTTCGCGTCTTACATCACGAGCTCTTGGAGCTCGCGAGCGCTTCGTCGATCTTAGCCTTCAACTGGTCGGTGACCTGATTGAACAGCTTCTTTACGTCGAACAGGTCGGCGGAACAGGTCGGTGCCCTTGGATGTGAATCAAGTTAATCTAACTCCAACCTATCATCAGAGTGCCCCTGGCGTGAACAACGCCAGAGTTGTTTGCTCGCAACGACTGGCTGGCACGCTGATATATCTCAAAAAATGCGGCGAAAAACGAAGACTTCTGTCTGATGCCATGACGACCTGCCGGACTCTCCATGACACGTGCCTTGTACTCGGTGTTGAGCTCCACCACCTTGGTGGCCAGTTGGCCTGCCAAGTCGGACCCGGCCAGCACCAAGCTGCCCAGGGTGTCCTAGGGATGGACCAGGGACGGTGCGAGGACTGAGTCGCGAGCGTGTGCGTGGCGCTCAGCGGTGCGCAGCGGAGCGGAGTTCAGCGGAGAGCGGAGCGGAGTTCAGCGGAGAGTCGATGAGGGTGAGCGGAGTCAGCGCGCCTGAACACGAAGGGCGGAACGCGGCGGAACATGTGAATGGTTGGTGAAGTGCGGTGAACACGTTGAGGGGCGCGCCTCGGGGGTGAAAACGCAACCGGAGGATCGTTCCATCTGTTTTGAGCCTAGGAGTAACCTAGTAGCCTACAGGAACCTCTAGTACCTGACTGCAAGAATTTGGGAAGCCTCAGCCTCAGCCATGGATGGATGAAGCATGATCCACTGAAAGATCCCCAGCTCCTTGATGCCGACATCCTTGTCGAAGCTGTCGATGGCACCATTCACTGTGCCTTTTGGCAGTGAATTAGCTGCGGGATTGCGTCCATAAACAGTAGCTTAGCGGCTGCACCCCATTCCGATGTTCACAGACTGTCAGCATCTTTCGGGCTGCGAGAACCAAAACACCAAGGCTGGAATCCATGCTAAACCTGGTCGTCACCAAAAAAGAGCACCTCCGAATTCACCCCGATTCCGAGGTGGCAAATAGTATTTTTTTTCAGCATCCAAACGTCCCAAACGTCTGGGCCTAGCGCATCCTTCACGGTCGTGGTGGTCTCGCCCTGGTTGGAGTCCAGCGCTTCGTTCACAGCCGTGCCCACCTTGTTGGAGACCTCCTGAGGTCGAGGTGGTTCGGTGAAAGGAGGCACACAGCAGGTTTCGGGCAGGAGCAGGCTTCAAGCTGACTGACAGGAGCAGGTTGGTTTAAAATGAGTTGATCACTTCTTGCAAGACTGAAGCCACTCATCTTGTGGCTACACGCTTTCTTACATCAAGTGGCCCCTTGTGTATACTGGTTAGTTGGCAGGAGCTGATCTGTCTGAGTTGGTGTAGCTGGAGCACCAATGGAGCAGTTATGTCAGCAACCTCTAGGCCAAGGTTCCTGAAATCCATCCAGATTCCTTGAATCCATCCAGATTCCTTAAACCCGCCCAGATTCCTTAAACCCGCCCAGATTCCTTAAATCCACCCAGTTCCTTAAATACACCCAGTTCCTTAGATCCTTGACTAACCCTGGGCTTTGACCAACAAGCATCGTACTTCTTGTTGAGGTAATCCACATAGTTCAAAGCCTCCAAGGATGCGGCAGACACACCCTTCAGGACGGTGGAGACATCCTCAGCTTGGCGGTTTAAAAGGACGGAGCACCTGACTTCGGGGTGAAATCGATGAAGTCAAATCTGGGTATGTCCCGTTGTTGCCTCTAAAAAAGGGTGCAAATCATGCTCTACAACAAGAAAGGTTGATCACGCAAATGAGCGCTTTCCAAAGTCCATCTAGTAACTTGTGTCTTTCTTGAGGGAACTTATTCAGGGGCGGATTACTAGTCACCTTACCTTACTGTAGAAAGGGGGAAGTCTTGCTGGTTCACTGGATCAACTCGCCAGTACAAGCAAAGGATCATCCTCCTTCTTTGCCAAGTAGGAGGTGGCCACAAAACCTTGGGCATTCGACATATTGACTGCGATATCTGAACATGCCCCGAGCCTCTGCTGCGGATATCCAACCTTTTGGAGACCTTGACAAAAATATTCACCTTTACACAAAGTCCTGCACAATTCAATGGCCAAGTCCAGTTGCTATTACATGACCAGCTCAGGCCTGAAACGCACTGTCTCTTCAGCAGTGTCTGCAAGTCAAATAAGTGGCACGGCCAAGCAGGACAAATCTGGACAATACACATCACAAATCACCTAGCAGGAGTTCCATCATGTTACAACTCCATCCGTCCAGCTCCAACCCCCATCAGCCCTGTCGGCTTCGCGCGTACCCAGACCCCTAAGCCCTAAGCTGAGAGAAGATCTGTTGAATCCGTTGTTGCCGAGTTCCGCTGGCGAATCTGTGGGGTTCAGCACCTAAGGTTCCAAACCTGGTTAAAGAAACAACACCTCACGCCCACGCCCCGAGGGCGAGTAATGATCACGCTGGTCCAATGCAGTCCCAAAACATCCGTAAACATTTGACCAGGAAGCATCAGCTTTGGCCAATCACCAACAACAAAATGAAAGAGCTCTCTCACCCAAAAATACCAGTGCCCGCTTCACCACGAAAGAATGGAACAATACCAGGAGGGTATACCGGTATCCTTCTTAGAAAAGTCAACCTCCTTGGAGGGTCATCAGGCATGTGGTCGTCCTCTTGGTGCTCTCCAGGCCACCGGCGGCACCAATCCAGAAGCCACCCAGCAGCAGCCCGGTCACACCACCCAGGACCTGGTTGCTGCAGATTGGAACCCAGGACCTGGTTGAGGGTGAAAGGATCTGAAAAGAGCTGAATCTATTTGGGGTCAACAAAAAAAAGTAGCTGACAGTGGATGATGCTTAGAAAAAGACCCAGGTCTCAGGTGCCCCCGAAATAGTGATAGTCTTTTGGTGACTGTTACTGGTATGCATGGGAGAGAGAGAACCTATAGAATCGGTCATATGATGAGGCCATGACTTATGATCATGACTCAAATGCAGTTACCGGACCTGCCCGCAAACCAAAAAAACACAACACCCAGGGTAGATCCACCCGAAATCAGGTGCCAAAGAATAAATGGTCCATGCACATTACCAACATCATCTCGACCTGGTGTCGTTCAGCATTGATGAGAAGGGAAGAGAGGATATTATGCTTCCCTTGATGCTATTAGGTTGGAGGCCATCGCTAGTAGGTATGAGAAGATATTATGCTTCCCTTGAGGTACATGAGAGATCAAACTTCATGTCAGGTCTCTCCTGTTGAAACTCAGATAGACTGGGTCTCCACTGGGTCTTGTCCGGTTCTTCCTTTTTGTTCATTCGATCTGCCGGACCTTCCTATGTTGAAAACAACATCTGGAACACAGTCGATATGCTCTGACTCACGTTCCATGAAGGTGGATGGCATGGATAGCATGGTCCATTGGAAGAGGAGCTTCCTCTTGAGGACAAAGGGGTTTCCACTTCCATCTTGGGGAGTTTCCAGTGTGAGCCGCTGCACGCCCCTGCATGTTGGTCATGTTTCTGCTTCCTCTTGAGTGCAGGCATTTTCTTCGACATGCTGCAGTCTTCTTTCCCATAGTCAGTGGCAACAAATACCCTATTCCCCAAAGATCTGTGATCCCCATTTTTAATCCCTGTCTACTAGCTGATGTTTCTCTCCAAAAGGGAAAAACTCACCACCACCTTCCTCTCTTATCTCTCTTGCCATAGTCTATCCTGAATCCTATCAGTGTTTTTTTTCTCTACAGATCTGCCATACGGGTCACGGCCCAGCGACCCCAGCAGTGGCGATGGTGTTCTCTTTGGTCACCTTCACCAACGCCACGGAGGATCCACCACTCGCGGGCGCAGCCGCGGGTGGAGTGCCGGAAGCCGCGGCCTCCAAGATCACGGTGGTGCGTGGAACGGGCGCTGATTGTGGGCCTGGCAGTAGCGCAGGAATGCAACAAACACTGCTAAGATAAGGAGGATGGTGAGGAGGAAGAGGAGGATCCACCGCTTATTGCAGAATATGGCCCATGGCGAGAACCATCCGATTTCATCGGATTTCGGTGATTCCGAGATGTGAAAGGAGACGACATGATGATCTGGTGTTGACCATCCATACAATTATTACTTGTTGATGTTTTATCTATTTTGTTTCATCTTGCTTCATACCAGCTTGTCACTTCAGCGTCATCAACAAAACATCCATCTCGCTGGTTCATCTCACTCTCGCAGATCTCCACCGGTCTTCTGCCCGCCTACGAAGCACAACGGCGCACAAAGAAGGGCCAAAGAGAGCAGCAAGCCGCGTCCCGCTCGGACAGATGCCATGCTGGGGAAAATGGGCTTTGGCGAGTTCTGCGCCACGAGCAGGCGGCTTGAGCTGTGCACCGGTTCTGCAGTCCGGACGCTTTCTGGATGCTTTTCGGGGTGACCAGGAATCATGGGATTTGTATAGGTTAGAGATCCACATCGGCAGGTGCCCAAGGACCCTCCTGGTGCCTAATTATCTTCGAAAAGTGTCCAATCATCCAAGACCGAGACCGGTATGTGAAGCCATAGACTCACATATACATCTATATATATAACTATATATAATTACACCATGACATTGCCAAAGACCAACTAAAATCCGCAGGTCGCCCAGGCATACACGGTTGCAGTCCAGCTCCCCCCGCCTTGTGCATTTTAAATGCAAATTTATCGAAAGAAAGCTGTTCGGGAGACTTGACTGTTGAAACATCCGTTGATTCCCATGCAGCATCATGCAAGCCGTTGGAAGCCTATCAACTGGGCTTTTCCATGACCTGCTGCATCCGGCAAATCCCAGACTTCACCAACTCCAGCCTTGGTGACCGACTCTGGAAGTCTTTCTTGATTTCAGACAGAGGAGCCAACTAGAAACGAGAACATACTGGAATTGAACTCTTCACCTTTACGTTACAATCTGATCACAACAGTGCTATCTCTTGGGTCTATCCCAATACCTGTAACAGTGGATGATGATGGTTCAGTTGCAGGCCTTGTTCAAAAATAGCAATAGTTATTTACTGTCTGACTGTTACAAGCTGTTACAAGCAATAGGACAAACCCAAATAATCTCTATCTCTTCCCTCCCATCCTTCTCGCCCTCCAAAAAGCGGCCCGCTGAGATGCCGCACTCACCAGCTCCTGACCCATCCCCTTCAGCTGCTCAGCCTGGATCTGAGAATCGGCCATAAAATGCTATTTTAAAAGTACCCCCTGCTAAGGAAACACAATTGTAACTATTTTACATTCTTTTGGATTCATCCAATCAATCATTTATCATGTTGGATGAAACCCCAAAAAACAACGACTGACAGCCACGAATCATCTGAAAACCCCCAGGTGAGACTTGTAGATCCGCTCCGGCCCAAACTTTCGCCCAAAACCTCTGATTCCAAGCTCTCCGCGGAGCGCATGGGATTGGAATCGGTGTCGCTCTAGGCTTCCGGACCAGCTTGTTGCACAGCTTGGCACGGATCTTCCCACGATCTGCGACATCCGATGTCCGCAGCACATAGGTTTGGTGGGGTCCGGGCGGTGGCGGATGGATTTCAGTGTGAAGACCTTTTGATCAAATGTCCAGCAAGTCACAAGTGTCCAATCCCTAGGGCTCCTGGCCCATCTCCTCAGGTTCTGTGGTATCCGACCCCCCAAGTCCACCCACCCCAGTCCCATCGAACCGAAACGGAGGTGGGCCAGGAGGTGTAGGGAATCGTCGAAAGTCTGGTTTCCGGTTCGGTCCTCCTTGGTTCATTTGTCACGTCGAGAAAGAAAGGAACAATTTCCCAAACACTCCATGTATGGCATATATGACTACATTAGGGTGGTTTGGGGGGTCAATGTAGGCATATATGGCATACATGGAGTGTTTGGGAATGGTTCTTCAATCGAACCTTGGTTGAAAACGGATGTTTGTGGAGATATATGTCCAAGTCAAACATCTTCAACTTGGGTGGGAGATCGTGCAAATAACCCACGATGCTTAAGAATGACTGACTCTTTTGGTGGATTCCATCCCACACGGAAAGTTTCAGTCATTGGCAATTGGCATGCATCTTCCCATGCTGCAGGTTTACATTTGGATTGAACATCGAAAACATCAATAACTTTGGGCGAAGACCACGGGGTAAAATCGAATCCTCGAAACACGTTCCTTTTTCCGCAGCAAACTGCCGGTTGAAAATTCAACTGCATGGACTGTATAGCTGCCTGGCACAAAAATGAAAGACTGCGAAACAAAACCCCTAAATGACCAGAAAATATCTATATATAGTACCTGGAACTCCGGGAGGATGTTGAATGTTTTCTGTTCCCAAGTTTTTGATGTGCTCTAGCAGCACACGGCCGCGACAGTTCGATCAACTGACCGCACGCGTGTAGTCGTCCAAGAGCTGCTCGTAGGTGTCCTTGAGACACTCGAGACGGCCCTGGTACACGTCTGGGTCCTCAGTTCATCTTAGCTCCCCGTCCCGTCTGGTCGCCGATGCTTGGGGCATCTGGCAGGGGGATCCACACGCGTCACGTGTTTTGTCGATCCAGCGCCGAAAAACATACACCTCTTTTGGTTGTTGCCATGTAAATAATAGCCAGTATGTATGTGAGGTAAGGATATCGCACAAGTATGAGTCCCAGAAAAACCTCATGTCTTTGTAACAGTAGCGTATGCCGTATGTTCGACTCTTGCAGGGTTCAGCGCTTTCACACAACACCGACAACACCAAATCGAAAAGCATCTCGGGACAAAACACACGAACTACGAGGGACACACTGCTCACCCAGTGGCGACAAGGAGTAACATGTCCTTCAAATGTGATAAATCAAACAACTAAGTTACAAACAAAAAACAGAGAGCAACTGGAAATAGAACTGGTATATAACCCAAGGTGCCGGATAAGATTCTTGGATCTGGAGCAGGAATCCTTCGATCTCCTTCTCCAAGTTTTCCCTCTCAGCCTCTTGGTTGGCCCTCCGTGCCCTGGGAGGTTTTGGACCGGTGTTCGGGCCATGGTCCATGAATATCACATGTGTATATATATATACATTATAGACACAGAGAGAGAGAGAGAGAGATAGACCCCCAAATGGATACAAAAATAGATCCCCAGAAAACAATATATTGGAAACCGTTTTTCATCTATTTGGGGGCTACTGTACATCCTATCTTCCAAACAATTCTACCTCTTGTCAAATTTCGCGAGCTGTTTTTTAGCTTTATTGATTTTAAGGGGCTGATGGGTTTTAGGGGCCCGGGGTTGTTAAGAACTTTTGCAGACTGTGCTGGGAACTGCCAGTCGGCGCTCACCCTTTGTTTCTCCCTGTTGTAGATGTCTCCTCTCACTTCTTTGATACCCGGCCCCCTTTTCTGAAGTGCGGCCCCACTTCGCGAATCTGTTCCATCAGCAAATCCCCCAAACCTGTGCAGCTAAGCATTCTCATCCTTCCATAAAAATGTTTGGGAAACATGAGTGTGAGGCATGAATTTAAGAGCATGGCCTGGGAAATCAATCGCGGTGTCAATTAAAATGCTTCAAAGCACTGACATGGCAACTTGATCTCGGGTTATTTGATCAATCTGCTCGTCTTGTGACTCTGGTGCCTGGGTCATCAAAGATTCTGTTCCAAAGCCGCTTGTCCATGCAATGATATGCCTGGAGAATCGTGCCAGATCTTCAGCCTCGGGTCCCGGGTGGATGGCTTGAGTGGATAAACACTTCACTTTTCCTTAATCAAGCTGATCAAATCACCAGAGCGTCTGCCGCCAAGAATCGTCAGGGGCATGGGGTGCATATCAACAGCACAAAAAATGCCCTCAGAGTCAGGATACTGACCTTCCTCAGCAACGGGCCAAGTGCATTTCCAGCTTTTGAAACAAGTATTTTTGTAATGATTACAAAACAAAGAGATGAATAACAAATACACCTTCGATATGTTGCCTGCTGCTGCCCTTCCCAAGCTTTGCTGCTAAAAGTCATAAGCAGCCGTGATAGAAAAGAATGATGCAGCATCTTATAGAATCCTGGCCTGGCTGCTCGGAGATTGAGATTCGGAGACTTCGAGACAGGGCCAACAGTGACTCAGTGACAGCAGCATCCATCTACTTCATAACACATGTATCCAAATGTTCAATGTTCAACTTCCGAAGCCATGATCATAATCATCATCATCATCATCAGTAACATCAAAAACAGCCACCACGACAACATCAACAAGACCATCAAAACTAACAACCACCACCGCCACAACAACAACATCGTCAACAACCACAACAACAATGGTGTCATTAACACGAACATCATCATTGTCATCATCATCATAATCGTGATTATCATCGTGGTCATCGTCATCCTCAAAAACATCAAAGCAGCCACCACGACAACATCAAGAAGACCACCACAACTAACAACCACCACAACAACATCACTGTGCATGTGGCTTAGCAGGCTTAGCACCCCTTGCCACGCTGCGAGGCTTCGCCGCTAAAAGTCCTTCAGGGAACCACCGGCAATGCCAGCTGCGAATTGTCTACCAGGAAGCGTGCAAGCTCTTGGCCTCAGAAGTCCAAGTGGAGATGGCTCTTACCACTGCCCCTCATGATTGACCGAGAAATGATGTTTGTGACTGATTAGTTGTGGGGACAACCACAAACAAGAACAACAGTGTAGCATAGTTTGTTCACGCCACACACCAAGCCGCAAACAACTGATTATAATGATTAACAAATGATATTACTTTGCAGTAGCGGCGACGGCTGTGTATACTGGATGCTGTGCCAACTTGAATCTGTGTTTGAGTTGGCTGCGCCATCTGTGCTGGTGAATTGTTGGTTGGCCAAAGCATGGTTTGCAGGTAGGCTATATTGCTGGCTGTTCATCCGCATTGCTGATGGTAAATGGCTCAATGTCACTTAGTGCCAGAAGCGCTGGGTGTCTGACGGAGCGCAAGGGCATTGGTGTTTCCAAATCCTGGGCAGCGTTGCGCCAAAGTATGCATCACGTCGGACGACTTAGGCTTTGCCACTCCCAGTTGATCAGGAAAAGGAGATAATACTAGACATGATCATGTGCCATCGCCAATGATGGGTGGTCGATATCTTGCAAGAATAGCTATGGTGTCAATGGTGTCTGTATAATGAGTGAATGTGGTTAAAGAGTGTGGTGGGGTACAGTACATTAACGACAATCAATACTGCTTGATGATCATGGTTGATGATGATATATGGTGCAGCAAAATGATGGTAAATTATGACTCATGACTGATATTGTGAACGGTTCACGTTGATGAACGAGAGTGTTCAACTTCTAACACTTCTGCGGTTTTGGGCACGGCAAACAAAACCCAAGAAAATCAACGATCAGGTCCATATCACGCATGTGTACCATGTCCTGATGCACAGTTCAACATCAGTAGCTCTAGATTACTGTTCCTCCCAAATGGGTGAGCATGATGATAATGATGATGGCGATGATGATGATGATGATGGTGATATTGATGGCAGCGACAGCGGTGACAATGATAATAAGAAAACCGATGCTGCAGGTAGTGATCCATCTTCGTCCTCTCGTTACGAATAATCTGCATCACCTTCATCGTTACCACCCTTGTCTTTTTTGCGGCTTGGCGCACTGCGGTTCACACATGTTCTTACTGTTGCATGCTGGTATGCATAATCATTGTCGTTGTTGCAGTGTTCTGTGTAATGCTGTTGTTGCTGTTATGAAACTCTTATCCCCAGAGTTGTCAAAAGAGATTCTTTATGCCTCGGACCGTAGCTGAGGGAATGATAGACGCAACTCCCGTCTTCGGGCTGCGGGATGACGCGCGCCTGCCCGGGCTAGACATGCCCTGAAGATCAAAGAGCTATGCATTCCACTGCTGTTGAGCTTAATGGGGTACACATGGGCTCACAATTGCAAAAGTCATCACAATTCGCACTTTAACCTTGTTGGCTACTGCCGGATTGTCGGTGTTGAGATGGAACAAATTAAACCTTGACAAAAAAATCAATCAGCACCTGCTCACCAGTAATATCAACTATTAGGCTGTTCGGCGTTACTGTCGCGTCGGTATCGCTTAGCACCAGTGATAAGGGCTCTGGACAGCAAAACGGCCAACTAAATGTTCATCTCAGCACTCTCACTTAGCAATACACGCCCGTAAAAAGACATTTGCTGGAACCCAATGATATCACGAAAGGTATGTAGTGTGAACATCAGCGTGCCATCAATGACCGCAAAGCTGACCAAACCCTTGGATACCCTTGTGCGTTTTATCATTATGGATATTATGGTCTCCGTGATCAATCATCATTGCCCGCTGACAAACCCTTCATTGAGCATGGCGTGACCATAACCAACAACCTCACCACGGGCGCCTCCCGGAATTGTCATTTCCAAGGCTTCGGCCGGATGATGTGCTCACCACCGTGGCTGCCCATCTGGTGCAGAGGGGTCTTGTTGCTGTAGTTGACCTTGAGGAGATGGTGGTCAGGTGATGGGACGTTGATCATGGACGGTTACACTCACGCAGAGCATTTGACCCACAGTCCAGCGCACATCAAACATCTCATACCAGCATTGGTACTTACCCGGAAGCAAAAATTCCGACTTGCCGGCTAAGCCATCGCATGCATCATCCCTTTGACAACTGGCTCTGTCCTCTCCCGCATGTCTGCTGAACTTAGTTCAGTGCCCATGCATCCTTGTGGCTCTCGCGCGGCTCCTTGAAATGGGGGCACCTGGCATGTGTTGGCTCATGGAAAACATTGCACAACTATCTGAATTGGTGACCAGCTTAAAGAAACACCAGGCGCAGCATGAACACATGAATGACCACATGATGCAGGCCAAAACCAATAACGCCCACCAAGTCTCTAAGTTGCGAGGCGTCATCTCTGACGAGAATGCAGTGAGATCGATATACGCCACACGGGTCAACTCCAGTGAGACTCTCACATGGGCCGGCCTTGGACAGCGAGTCGTAAACTTGGAGGGAAAGATGGAATGCGCAAGGACGCAAGGACGACAGGACTGCATGTGAAAGCTGCCAAAAAAAAAACGGTACTCAGTTGACTCGGCGCCGCTAAAGGGTCGCCGGGCCAACCTGACGTGTTTTTGATCCGTTTAACAGGGTTTATGTTGGAAATTGACATTTGCTGAGACAAAGCCAGTGGCTTTGAGGGTGTGAAGATCTTTTGCGCCCTGTCATTTTTTCATGAATCCATCATCCACCCACCCACCCCAACCCCACCCCCAGCGTAGCATGTACCGTGTTCACAAAATCACATGAACGTCAATATCCCCTCACCTGCCCCAACCCACCCCAACCGTAACATGTTCCGCGTATTATGCAACATGACGTCAACATCCTCCCGCCCACCCCAACCCCACCCCAACCGGAGCATGTACCACGTACGCAACGTTACATGAACGTAAACAGGAAGCAAACATGACAGGTCGCAAAATCGACAACCCTTTTAGGGGCCAAGAAAAGTGCCAAAAACAACGAGCACCATATCTAGGCATCTTGCTTGAGTTTCCTGGAAACTTTGAGCGGTTTGGCTTCAAAGCGCGCGCAGCGCATGGCCCGAAGTATGGGGTAAACCGGGTAAACTGCTGTAAACTGTGGGTTTCTCTGGGCTTCGCAACCTTCTCCTATACAATGCAACGATCGTTAAGTGAATGGGGTGGTGGATGGTGGTGGGCGCTCTTGAAATCAATTCTTCCAATTTGCGGCTCCCAATCAAATGCACAAATGCTTAAGTCATATCTGGGCAAGGCCCTCCGCATCCCTCTGCAATGTCCAACTGAGGTTCCCAACAGGAGGGATGTATTCCAACTCCTCGTCTGAATCCTCGCGTTCAACCAAATTCAAAGTCGGGTTTTGGGCCACTAATCGTAAGTAGTGCGAGTAGGGCACGGCCTGAAGCAGCCTTCCAGTGGAATACTTCCACCCACCACGCGTTCAACTGACTGTCTTGGCTGGGGTCTGCTCTTGGTCAGGGCGGTTTTCCCTACTCTGTGTCATCACCTCCTCAGCTGCCACACTCAACTCAACATGCGCCCCATCACCATCAGGTTCCTCACCACTGGAAATAGTCTCCATTCCCAGTTCATCATTGCTACTGACGGTTGCATGAACGAAACATGACGAAACGTGGGTAGTTGGGCATGCCTTGAGATAAAAAATATCTCTGGAGCGGGCTGGCGCTTTGGTTCAATAGACTGAGAAACGAGGGCAGCTGGTTGTATTTTAAGCCTTTGCCATTTGGGCCAGTTGAGTTTTCAGAGACTTATGGAATGTTTTTTGCAAACGCGTTGTCGTGACAATGAGTCATGTGACAATGATGCAGTGTAGCATCCTTACGTTGCAGGGCACAAGGAATGCGATGCCCTGACACCACCAGGATTAACCCTGCCTGTGTTTTACACACATTAGATGAGGAAGCGTCAACAATGCTGGGGCTCACAGCTCACCTGCAACTTCTGAGTCTACAAAGTGTCCAGAGGAGACCTGGTGGAAAGTACTGGTAGAGGTCGGATACACGGTGCTATGTTTGAGCATTCCAGCTACCGACCCATGTCCCAGAATGTAACTCGAAGCGCATATTGTGGCACATACCATGCGCGCGCAAGTCAGACCAAACCAACCAAACAAAACAAATAAACAAAACAAAACAATCAACACAGCCCAAAGCAAGACAAACAAACAATTAATCAACCAACCAAGCAAGCAAGCAAAGGGTGCACTTTTAATTTGGTATTTTTCATTTGTCTGATTATTTCAAAAAATTGGAATAGAGCAGGTTTCTCATTAGCACCTAGCTAATTACAGCAGTGTCGTGTCCTTAGCAGAGACACATGTGTCGTAGCTGGCCAAATGCATTGGAATAGTGCAGGGTTCATATTAATTGCTAGCTGATTAGACTAATTTGGGAGCTGTCGTAGCTGGCAAAATGCATTGGAATAAAGTGTCAGAGAAATTCCTACCTATCACAACAGTCTGGTGCACTTAGCAGAGAAACAGTAAAGAGAAAGAGAACTAGCACAGGAGGCATATATGGTTGGTTAGAATTTTTGCACCGGGGAGTTGACCATAAAATATTGATGTCGTGGCAGGCGCGGGTGTCGGAGATGAAGTGCAAATTTCGTGGCGCTGGGGGGGGGTGGGGGGGGGGCAGCGCCCCCCAGCAGCACACCAGATCCAAAGGTTAGAAAGCAAACAAATGGACAAGCAAAAACAAAAAGAGAAAGGCGAGCAGCTGCCAAAGCAGAAAAGCAACAAAAGCAAAGAGCAGAAGGACAAAAACACAAAAAGCAGAAAAACAACAAAAGCAAAAAAACAGCATAAGCAGAAAAGCAGCAAAAGCAGAAAAACAACAAAAGCAAAAAAACAGCATAAGCAGAAAAGCAGCAAAAGCAGAAAAGAAACAAACGCAAAAAAGCAGCAGAAGCAGAAAAGCAACCAAAGCAGAAAAACAGCAAAAGCAGAATCAAAAAAAAACACTCCGCAAACAAACAAACAACCAAAAACAACAAAACAAAACAACCAAACCAAGCTTAACCAAATGAAACAAAACAAGCAAAGCAAGCCAAAACAATAAGGGCAACAAGAGAGTTAGAAAACAAGAAAAGCAGGAATATTGAATACAGCACCTAATAACAAAGCAAATGCGACTTTTATCATTAATGAATTAATCATCACTACTACAGTACCCCAAATCATGGATTTAGCCTGGGGGTGAAACCTGGTTTTTCCACAGTGATCATAGTGCGTGACAGTGCGTGAGTGAATACACCAAAACTACACAGGTTTCATGCACATTGAGGTGTTCTTGCAGATGTAGAAACATATGAACGCTTACAAAAAATATAACTTTGTCCCCAGACCTCGCGAAATTTGACACTACCTGACACTACCTCTCAGTCTACATATGTATACTGTAACATAAGTTGATATTGGCAAGGTCCTATCCAGGGGGGTGACTGGTTTCCACCCATCTTCTCCTTCCTGACCCAGTCAGTCAAATGGTCTGCAAAAAGGATGGCTCTTCAGCATCGGACATCAAGTCTTCTTGGATCCAGGGGGCACGGCATGCGCCAAATCGGGACGGAGCTTCAAGATGTTTTGATAGAGCTCTTCCTCTTCCTCGGACTCATTCCTGGCGAGTTTGCCGAAGAGGAGCCCCTGATGGGTAGCAGAATTATCTCAGGAAAACGCAACAAAACAACAAGTAGAGGCGTGGGACAGTGGTTCCAGACTGGATTTGAACAGATCTTCAATGAATCTTCGCATCGTTGCGATTCACTCTGCGATCGAATGACCTACCCCAAACACGACCAATGGGAATGGAAAAAGGTACCGATCGGGTGGTGTTGGGTCAATGTGGGCATGTGCGGCTAGGGAGGCAGTCTGTCCGGACGTTCGACTTGGATAGACTTGGGGTGAAACTTGTGGAAGATCTCATTGGAGCGGCTGTAGCCTCTTCCTATCTTCAAGGGAATTTGTAGGGATCATATGGGTGTGTATGGGTGTGTTGAAGCTCAGGGGGACCTCCCAGGCAACGACCCCCTTGGAAGGAACATAGACTCAAACCCAAACCCATTGATTGATTCACCCGAAATCCTGAAATGTCCACACTTTGAAGTATCCTTGCCACTTGCAGGCCTTTTCAAGTGCTGCCGTTAGAGGTGCCTGAATAGGAATTCTGAAGTTCTGACCCTCTCATTTCAAACCGGGGAGGGGCAAAGGGCCGGCGCCGGCCTAGACAAGTCGCAAAGCCGCAAAACCCATTGATTGAGGGTTTCCGTTCTTAGATGCACATTGCCCGTCTAAGCCATGTTGCTTCTGTATGCTTTTGTCTGTTCGTCGGTTCATCCGCCCGAGTGGAGTACCAGGGAGTGGAGTACCAGGCTGAAAGGAAAGGAAACAACGCAAAAGTCAGAAGGAACATACAAACAAACAAATTGATTGTTTAAACAGTATTATGAGTTAATCAAAATCATGCGCTAGTGATTGTATAGTGGTCCCCGACCTCCAATAAAAAGACGTACTCTAGTATACCATTTTTGTTTTTAGACATATTTATAAAGATATATGAATAATAAGTATAAATAAGCATAGTATAAAATACCTTGGAGAAAAAAACAACAAAAACCTTCCACCCAATTCCTCCCACCATCCCAGCTTGTTTTCGCTATCTCCGGTGGGAAATTCGGGCCTCTTCCAGCTATCGAGCTCTTTGTACCAACTCTCCTTAACATCGTGTTGCTTCACATCGACACGATGGAACGGATGAAAATCCCACTGAAAAGGGCCCCCCGCACACAGCCACACACACACACACGCGTTCACACAGCCACAAAGCGAGCGGACAACGAGAGCGGACAACGTGAAAGAAACGGAGCATCCCAGTGCAGTTGGAAGGTTCAAGACCACGGAGCATTTCCAAGCAAGGTGGACTCATCAATTTCATCCTATTTCATCCATGTGGCCGCCTATTGGGAGAATCTTGCTGGAATGCCGATCGTCACCCCAAGGGCCCCTGTGGTTCTGTTCCATGTTATCCGAGACTTGATGTAAAGCTGAGGGAGATCCCAGCAAATGAATGCAATGAAGGCCTCCTAAGGCTTGTTGGTTAGGGGATGAGGTAAAAACATAAGAGGTCTTTCATGGCCTTTTACCACCAACGACCTGAGTGTTGCACCCTCACGACTCTACCCGGTTTCGTCCGGCGCCGCACGACTGGGCCACGCACTTCAGTGACTGGGTAGCAAAACGGTGCGGCAAAGAGTCTGGGTGACTCTGACGCTTTTCTTGTTTCGTGACCGCCTACGCCTTCAGGCCTTCAACCATGCCCAAACAAGTTCTTCCACGGCCATTGTTCAAAAGCATCCAACGGCCCCCCCTTCCAACAAACGCTCTTAAATCATCCTGAAAACTATCTAAAGATACTCACCTCCGCCATCCAAAGACGGCGGGTCTGGTGAATCCAGCAGGTATTATATGATCAGGATCCAACCACGGCAAAAGGCTGGACCCTCCAACTCACCCTGCGAACCGAACCAAAAAGGAGACCACCCCGTTCGACTCAGGAATCCTGGCCGCCGCAACAGGCCCAAGGCTCCCAGCGTGTTTGCCGGTCCTCGTTGAGCTCCAGCGCCCGTCGGAGCACTCGCTGGGCTTCGGGAGCGGTGGCCTGGCGAAGACTGACTGGCATTGGATGGAAGAGATGCTTCTCAAATGCTCCATGTATGGATGTATATCAGCATGCATATATATATAATATAAATAAATATATATATATATACAACACATGTCATAATATACTAATATATGCTACATGTCTTCTCATACGCGGGAGTGTCTGGGCTTGGACTCTAGGGAATAACATATTCATGCATATTCCATGGTTTTGGTGGACTCACCCACAAAGAAAAGACACACGGATCACCCGAAGCAATACTAGTTCAGAACATCATACGTCCAAAACCTCGTCAAGAGCCGAGACATGTGCAGCAAAAAAGGCCACTGTGTCCCTTGCCCTTTCGCGGAGCCATCCAAGGATGGGAACCTTGACCTTCTCCGCGTTGGATGACAAGGGCATCAATAGTTTTTATACATATTACATGTTATACATGGCGTGTTTTTTTTGTGTTTTTATTTGCAATCTCGCTGAGCCGACTTTTCCACCAGTTGTTGTATCACCGTGCATTGCCCAAATAAAAACAATAAAATTGCACAAAACAGTGCACCCTTCAAATCTTGTGAGGCTTCGCCTGTTGGGTAGCCCCACCTCGCCCGACTCCAAGCGAGACAGGTCGTGGTCGCGCAACACGCGCAGATCTTCAAAAGGGAGACGCCTCACCTGGGCGCCACACGCGCGGCGTAAGCTAAACGAGGCCAAAAGAACGACTGAGCTGACACGGCCAAAAGAACGACACCTCCACGGGCTTGGGTTTGGAATGTTTTGGGAGAAAACGCGGCACCGTTCCGTGGATTCAGAGTGGTACAATTTGACAATCCCCAAGTTTGATGGTTTACATGTACCCTATCTAAGGACATCTTGGGGTCTGTGCAAGGGCAGTCTGAGACCTAGGTGCAATAAATTGGGTGTATCATTGGCACTTGCAAACCGCAAAAAGAGTATCTTATAGCATTTTGCCCTATAGGTTCACATTAAAACATATTAAAACTATTTGCTATATCACATGGCCAATACTCGCAGCTGTTCAGGGGTTACAATTCGCTGTGTCTCGTGTGCGCAAATGTGAGAAGGGTGGACTAGCAAACGGCGTTCAAAGAGTGGTGGACGGTGCCAAGTGGCCAGGGTGTGGCAAAGCTTCACATAAATTTCTTCAGCCACGGGATGTGCTTCTTCTGTTCGACGTGTGAAGTCGGAGCAAGTCTCGGACTGCTCACCTCAGCGTAAGGCACAAGCAATCGTGGTTGGTGGGTCACCGGCCGGATCAGGAGTCCATTTCCCTCTTACTTACTATCCCTAGGGCTCCAACCATATCCTAAGAAGGTGGTTAGACTCCCCTGGCACCCACCTCTGGCACCCACCCCTGGCCCATCTTCTCAGGAGGTGGTTGGAGCCCTAGGGTATAACCAAACCATACAAAATCCAGGGGCCTGAAAAAAAAAAGTGCACGCCTAAGTGCGCATGAAGCCTGCCAACCACTGGTGAGTGGCTCTGTCTGAACAAGGCGCAGGTCCCTGTGGTTGTCAGATTGTGTTGGGGTTCGTTCGGGAAGCCGTGAGTGGGTCCGTTTTCCGTGTCCACTACCAAGTTGCGGCGAAAGTCCCTTGCTGCCAGCTGTTGATATGAACGCTCTGCGTCATCTTCTCTCCGCCTTCTCTCTCTGGCATGCTCCGCTCGCTGGTCTTCTAGGACCTGCTTCATCTCTTGCTCCAGGTAGTGGGCGATGAAGTCTCAGATCGAGCGCTACCGCACGCAGCCGCTGAGTGGGCGCTGCAACCAAAGACACGACGGCCTAATTGAGCTCTTTAGAGCCAACCAAAACGACCAACCTGTAACCATACAAGTCTTCAATATGTGTGTTTTTCCTCCCTAGGGCTCCGACCGGGGTCGGAAAACCACCGAACCTGAGGATATGGTTGGAGCCCTAGGGTTTACTTGCTGGGGTCATGTCCTCGAAGGACGTGCGGAACTCGAAGGTCCAAAATCAACGTTGTTCAGGCTGGAGAAGGAGAGGGACAGTCCGGACGGCTGGCCGAATCCAAACTACCAAAACACGGGTCAATATACATCTGGAAAGAACAAAATAGATCAACCTAGCTCATTCAACCGGTTTGACCAAGCCTGATGCGGGTGGAAATTCCGAGACCTGAGAGTTCCTGAAACAAGTACAGGGAACTGGAAATAGCATCACGACTTGCCATCCAGAACGCCGGGAACAATGCCTGGTTGTGCCTCGCTCACGTTTCCTTCACATCCGGGTTGCTTCCCTACACCCCTGGAAAGAACAAGTGCATACAAGTGCAACGAATCCGACGAAGGGTTGGTCTGCGTCAGTCAGTGACCAAAATATGCCTATACATTGAAATCAAGCACCACAATGCAGCTTCATATGCCAATCCCGAGTGTTTGGGTCGGGTAATGCTTTGTGTGGCACCGGTTACGCCCTGGAAGATTCACAACCCTGAAAACCACGTAATAAGAGAAACATGGTCTTCCAGTCTAATGCAGGCCATCAGGTTCCCCCGGTGCTTCTCGTAAACCCCCCCGGTGCATCTCAGGTTCGCTTTTGGCTCCGACCGATGGTTTTCCTCTACCAACCCAGTGGTTTTCAGGGGTCCCTGTCAGTCTCTTCCTTCCCGGGGGTGCCCTTCACGCCCAGGCACCGTTCACGCCTTCCCCGTGCCACTGAGAGCGGTGAACACGCACGAAGGCGGAGAAGTGCACATTGAGATCCTGGGGATGGTGACCGATCCCTCAGACCACCCCGTCATGGAGGCATTTTTGTTCCATACGTGGAGTGTTTGGGAAAGGTGCCAGGCACCTCTGGGTCAAGGAAAGCAGCATGGAAGAACGATGGAACACATCAATTCACAACCTCTCACCCTGCTTAAGTGCACTAACACAAAAAACAAGCTGCTTAGCAGCTTAGCTGCTTTATTAATTATAAGGATTTATGAGGTTTTAATAGGTTCTATTTGGGGGGGCAGGCATTTTGTGGGCCAGCGGCACATCTCGTGGAAGCCATGATGCTGAGGGACAACAGAGGCATGAAATCCAAGACCACCTACACCCGGAATCCAAATGCAATACCAGCACAATGCCGGAACCGGAACCTACCCCTTTCCCCCAAACTTGCCATGTAAGGTACCATTCGGGTGAACCACCCCCCTCAAAATAACAGAACGGTCGAACAAAAAACGAACAAAAAAGCCACCAGAATCATCCAATGGGTGCCCAATGGACTACCCTACCCTATTTAGGGATCTCCATTGGACACCGGATAGCCCAGGCAGGTATGAATGAACCCTTTTCAACTCAACATCGATGCTCAACGTCTTTTTTTGGGCGCCACCAAGGCACGTCCAGGACCGTCAAGACCTCCTGCATCCTCAGCTCGTGCGAGCCTCCGCCACAGCGACATAGGATCTCAGCACCTTCGCGGTCTGTGACCTGTCGACCATACAGTCGGCGGAAGAGAGACGCGCCGGTGTTGTCTTGGCGTCGTCTCTATCCCATATAGAGTAATTACATCAAATCTCGGATCTTGGTAGGAGAATGTATCCAAGAAGGCATCTGGTGAAGTGCAATCTGTAGCTACTTCGCAGTTGGAACCTCTAGTGCTTGATGCCCCAAACCAATCCTGCGACCAATCCCCAGCCTTCCATCCTTTCTGAGCGGGGCAATCCAGCTGGGCAAGCCTCACACGACCAAGGGCAGCAGTGGCCCAAGTCACACTCTGACTCTGGCGGTTGATCTTCCTTCCTGGAATTTGCAGAAGTCCCTAAACGACACGAATTGTTTCCAGGAGGGTCCCTGAAAGATGGACGGACGGACAGGCCCTTCTTCTAAGTCCTTGTTTTTCCCGGAAAGTTGATCCAAAGATCCCTTTGTTCATGGTCTTGCAGGTTTAGTAGCGCCATTGGCTGGATACATGTACCCGCCCAATAGTAACAAGTGTACACAAAGATGCTCAACATCTCTGTCCTTCCTCTTCGGGTTTCAAAAAGAACAGTCCATAAATTTATAATGTGTTTCTACATCTTGATGGTAAGAGTTCCAAATGCTTGGTCATAGCATTATGAAACAACGCTTTTGCACTATTAATGGAATTCAATAGGAACAGCAGGCAGCTATAGAACTTGAAAATGACTCAGATCCCATGGATTCTGCACACTCGTTCCGCCGTCCCCAACATTCCCCAACTCCGATGCAGATCCGCCGCTGATGCTGAATGGCCTGGAGGGCATGGTCGGATGAGGGGGATTCCTCCAGGGCTTTGGGTGTGTTCTGGTCCTGTGTTCTTCTCTTGTGCATGGTGTCAAAAAAGCAACTGCGGTCCGTGGCTGAGAAACCAGAGATCCTCCCTAGAGGAAGTGTGCTGTTTTCTGCCAAATATAACCCGAGGGAAACCGGGAAACCACCGGGAAATGCAGCCACGCAGGATTCCCAACAGTTGCATCAGCAAACCTCTCTTATTTACTGTTCTCTTTTCACCCCGTGTTTGGATGCACACATGAAATCATCAAGTCCTCCAGAGACGTGTGCCCCACTCCTCTTGCATTTGAACGACGCCAACAGCATCGGCCTGCACCGGGTCTTGCAGCACGGGCAGCTCTCGCCGCTCCACCGGGAAGCTGTAGGTTTGCAGCTCATGTCGAGGCCGGATGAAGTCCACGTCTCTCAAGAGCACCTGAAAGGTGAAGCGGGCGATGGAGGTGCCGCTCGATCTTGGGGTGCTGGATGGGTGTGGCATCCAAGAATGGAGAAGAACTTCTTGAAAAGGAAGGTCACCAAAGCTGTGCAAGCGCCAACAAGGGAGTCAGCACAGGAGAATTGAGCATCTGGAGGGTGAAGAGGCAATTATGGCAAGAACTTTTCGTTATAAGTCTGTAGATGTCGGGGAAACATAGGAAGAACAATGTTGCCTAAGTATATCTAATTATACAATATATAGTTCTTGGAGGCATACAGTAATACCCGAGGGTCCTGAACACAAACATGCCACTGACATCCACTGACCTATCCTCTCTTCACATATGTTCCGCGCGCCTTTTTGCTCTCTGTTGATATGGCCAAGTCATGCATATGGGACCTGGCAGCCTCGAGGAGGCCAAAGCTACGATCAAATGTTTTGAAACCGAAACTGCTTGATGCGAACATCAGAAAGCACTTGACCAATCTTGAAAATATACGGTCAGCGGCACGGGAGGGGTAGGTCCAAAATGTTCTTGAAAGAGTGTCACATATTAGCTCTTGCAAGGAATGATTGAATGAAGAAAGGGCATGGCACTGGCACCATGTCATATGCGTGTTGCAGTATTAGGTCACCGTTAAGCAAGATAGCAAGGCATAACGTATGTCCGCACATCTCTGCATGAGACCAGAAATGCCTGGCCAAAGGTTGCTAATCCTCCTGCAAAAAACTGCTGCCGATGGTGTCGGCTAATTTGGCAATAGACATGCTCCCATTTGGCGGGCGGAACTCTATGTCATAGGCTTGGTGTGGGCCGAGTGGGCTGAAGAAAAATGAGCTGAATAAACAACAATAGACATACAGAATACAGCATTAGCATCTCCAAAGTCACTAGTCACACTCGAACCATCTCGAACCGGTAAGAACCCCAGGTGCAAACAAGTGCAAACTACAGCCCCAAAAAATAGACTTGTGAACTCATCTGAGGCTAGACTAGGCTAGACTTGTTGACCAAAGAAATGCACCCCACTTCAAAGGGCCTCTGCTGACCGTTTTCTACGCGACCTACCCGGTCCATGTCATAGATCATCTCAGCTTCGCTTCTGATAGGATGCGAGCCGCGATTCCATCTCCTTCAAGTCCGGATCCACCTGGGATCGCTAGGGGATGTTCCGACATGGGTGGCCTGAAACAAGGACAGTGACGAACATCAACATCGTCACCCGGCTGTTGGGTATCGAAAATGGTGCTCTTCAGATGCCCATCACTTCTGGCTAGAGGACGTAAGAGAAAAGCTGAACTATATCCCCCATCAGCAGTGTTTCGAGCGGTGCACCTTGATATCCTTGTTGCTGTAGCCGAACTCTGTTCGCAACTTCGCCTTGTACACTTCGATGTCACCTGAGAGTGGCACTGCGAGCTCTTCGAGCGGGTTTTTCGTCAGAGTTGCTAGCTGCTAGCAGCCAGCCTCAGCATCCTGGCGATGCAAGTCTAAGCCTAAGCTGATATAATGATGAAGGTCAACAAAATGCAACAAACATGTCAAAAGCATTCAAAAGCCCCAACCTCCTCAAGTCCACCACCTCCAGCCCCCTCTGAAAAAGGGACGCACTGAAGTTCGGGTGTCTTGAGGTCATCGTCGAGTGGTTGACCATTCCGCCGGGTTCGGACCAAGTGGATTTCGCTCAGCCAAAGGCTTTGAAACCTTCAAATCGAGGGTTTAGTTCTGAGAGGTTTGCTCCTTGTTCGATGTCAAATTTGCCTTGAAGCTGCGAAATCCACTTTGTCTGAAGCTGGCTGTGCCCAAAGCTGGATTTCTTCAAGTCAAATTCGCCTTGAAGCTGCGCAAACTCCCTTTGCTCCTCGGCCGTGAGTGGTGTCTTCTTGTCCTGGGCCAAAAGGAGCGCCACGGGGTTTGGAGCTTCATGGGATGTGAAAACATGGAAACACCTGGACCCAAACAGCAGCTGAAACCGTAGTATAACCCATCTGTTCTTGAGCCTTTTGGGCTGGGACATGCTAAGGAACAGGCTGAAAAGCATTCCAAGAGTTCATGGAGTCTTGCTGCAGGCAGGGAGACAAAATCAAAGCCCAAAAGGTTCGCCAAACGCAATTGACAACTGGTTTGCAGGGGTTTCTTGCAGGGCAGTCCTATGCCAGTAAAGGGTGGGTCTCCTTCCAGACCCCTGGGCGCCCTTGTGCCTGGCCTTCTTTGCATCCTTGTCCTTCTTGCTGCTTCCTGGTTCCTGCTTTTCCTTCAGCTCATTCATACGGTTCACCATCTTCACCACCTCCTCATCCTGGAGCCGCGACCAAACGTGGGCAGGAGAATGGCCCTGAAGCCAATTTCCCTGTTCCCCTTTCCAAGATCGTCTTAAAATAGTACGTCTTTGGTGGATGGTCCTTGTTCTGCTGCCCACCGCTCAGGCCCTGTTCTTTCAAGATGGCCTTCCGTTCCACAATGGCCTGCTTCAGGTCTTCCAGCTCCTAGGTTGTTCCATGCTGGACAAGGGTCCAGCCAGCACTTTTCCAGGCACGGAGATTAGAGGAACTGCCGTGATCTATTGACCCTCATGTGTGATAGATCCATGGATTACAACCACTGCCAAGCAAGAACGTGTCATTCAACTCAACATTATAGAATATTTACTTTAAATATGGCTATGGTCGTCATGGGAAAGTCGTAACTAGGTGATGTTGATGGCTCAATATACAACGTGTCTGGTAAGAACCACCACCTCTCATCTCAGGGAAAACGATGCCAGCATGGCTGGAGAATTGCAGGTCCGACATGTTCCAACCTTTCTTGTTCACATGTTCCTGAAATTGGAGGACATGATACAAGCTGCTCATGGGGGGTGCAGCTTGTAACGCACCTCTCAGATCATTCACAGTAGCAAGTCCAATGCTTGGCCTCTGGGTAAAATGTAAGTGTTGTTCTATTTCCAGGTGACCTTCAGATTCAAATTGTATAAGTTGATGGAAGTTTGGTCCGCTCATTTTACACATTCCCCAGCACAGCTGGTCTCCTTGGTTTCGGCGGGGCTGAGGCCACTGCTTTCCTTCTTCTCCTGGAGTTGTCCAATGGGAGGATCATCAAACAAATCGAGGCCGGGTGCCTTCAATGGTCGTTCAGCAAGGACATTAATGCCGCCATGCCCTTTGTAATAGAATGACACTTCGACCAATTGAGGAATTCTTGCTTCAGGTAGGATCTCCATATGTTTCGATTACCTTCCCCCCTCAATCGCACTTCTGTGCGCTTAAAAGCTTAGACTCACCAGATCGGCGGGAAAAAGTGGGTTGCGCTGCCCAAAGCGGGGCTCCACTTCCAACAGCCTCCAGCCATTAAAGAGAAGCATCATCCAAGATCTGCCACAAAACTGAAAACCCATCTCCACCTGCAAAACTGATCTCCAGCCTGGTCCAGCCTGCCCCCCTTGTGGACTCATTGAAACCGAGTCCTTCTTTGATTCCTTCTTCGTCACAGCCTTCACCTCCAACGTCTCTGCAGAGATCTCCTTGGGTGCCTCCGGAAGCACTGCGGCTTTGATCACGAAGTTGCCGAATTTGGGCCTCACCGTGGCACTCTATCCGCCGGCACCAGCGGAGACTGGGCAGCGAGGGAGGGTTCATAAGTCGAAGATTGGAGGATATCACGCATATGGCCAGTGTCTGAGAGGCTTTGTATTGAAATCACAGCAAGCAAAAGCTATCAACACCTTCATGGCAAACAAGGTGTTTGGCACTTGAGCCAGTCTCACGGGTACCCCTCTGACCGGCTCTACTTGAGACGCCTGGCCCGTCCTAACTTGATATGTTTAAACCTTTAAAACGCATCCCAAAGGAACATAGACAGGTCATCTTATGTCTGTGTCCACCTATGTCCACCTAGAACCATCCACATGAGTCCTGCCAGTCCACCATCTTTCCACATGCCTGGATCCGAATTCAAGTACCTTAGACAATGGGACATGACCCTACAAAAACAGGTACCTTGTACCCATTAGGTACTCGGTACTACTAGGTACGACCCGAGCGAGTCTCTCGTCTGTTTTCGAGGTACGTCCGACTCCTTTTTCTTCTGCTTGGTCCGTGCCGAGGAGCTCGAGGCCTTTGCCAATCTTGCAGGCGTCCACGTAACGCTGCTGACTCTTCAAGTCGGCGATTTCTTTCCTCGGCCCCCGATTTGTCATGGGTGGCCACCAGTCTGACATAAGTAGAACAAGCATGTGTTAAAAGGTTGGTCCTAAATACTGTAAGACGTAAGACCCTTGATCAAACTGCCCGCAAACTTGGATTGTAAAAGCTCATTCATGTGCCTGGGCCTGGGTGTTTTAAATGGTATTGTTGTTTTTTTCCTATTTATCACCTATCATCACCTATCCACTTCATCCTCCATCGAGGTCTCCCACATGTGATCGTCCAAACCTGGTAGGACACCTGGATAACAGTCACCTGGGCGACTGGAGAACACTCTTTGAACAAGTCGGCCTAGCGTCCCCTTGGCTGCGCGTTCCTTTTTGTTGTCCTTGCCGGTGAGCAGGGCAGATTCATCTTCCAAAGCAGCGATTTTCTCCTGTTGAGTAAAACGAGCAACGACCAAGGAAACGAAGACCTTCGTGGGTCCGTCGAAGGGTCCGTTCTCACTGTGAGGAACCGAGATCAACAATGTACCAGGACCCTCCTGTCGGGGTGTCCAATGAACTACCCCACACTACCTATAGGCTTCCAGACAGGGCCCTGTGGAGGCTCCTGGTATAACAATGTCATATTTCCCTGGATTTATGTTTTCGGCCGTTCTTTGTTTTCACATGGTTGTTCTATGTGTCATAAAGCCAAGGTTCTTATATACTATATACCTTTTTTTGTGTTCTCTCTCTCTCTCTCTCGTTGTTCACTCTCGTGGTTTGCACACCAATTCATAGGCAGTCTGAATGACGCTGGACATCTCAAAAACACTCAGCATTGCATGGACTGTCCAGCTGTGAACTGTAAGAAAGGACAGAACCATAAAGAACAGCGTATATAAAGATCCAGTTCTCAGCAGCAAGAACCTTCGAAACCATTCCCAACGTGTCCAACCTTTTTGGGTTTCCGCTCCATCTCCCTGCGTGTTCAGACGTGTTCGGGTCCTCAATCTCCTTCTTGTACTTCTCCGCCTGGGCCGTGTCGTACTGCGCGGGCTCCTTGGCCTGTTGCGATTGGAAGAGCCTCTCGCCTTGCTCAGCCTGGGCCACCAGCGGCCAGGACGGAGCTGTCGAGCTGAGGTTCGGTTCCACTAGCTCAGCAGGTCGAGCAGAGCCCCA